AGGCAGTAATGTGGGCAGTCGCAGGCGCATCACACACAATGACATCCGCACTGCCCACCGCCACACTACTCATTGTCCCGCACAGCCGAACTGGCCCCCACACGCAGCTACACAACACACCGTATGTCTTCCAGCTCGCGCGGCTGAGCCGCGGTGAAGCGTGCAAGCTTACCAGCGGGACCGGAACTGACGGCCCCACCCCTGACTACAAGGGGGGCCTGGACCTCGTCGTGGTGGCCAACGACACGGCGATCCGAGGACTAAACGCCCGATCCATGAAGGCGCTCCTATCCGAACTCGAAGCGATGGACGCCACCGGCCTCCCCAGAAAACATCTGCGACTGCGGGACATGTCCGCGGGTACTCACTGCGTCGGCACCCAACGACCCTACCCAAACAAAGTCGCTCAGGTCATGCGCAAGATGAATGCCTCAACGCCGCCCAGACCAAGACCAACCGCCACAGTCCCCCACTCGGACGGACAGATGCTCCAGCAGCGCCTGACAGCAGCTTTTCCCGGACAAGTACCACTCAGGATGGACCCGCACACTATCATCTGGACCGACGGTAGCTGTATTAAATCGGCTGAAAACAACGGCCAGAACAAGTTGGGTGCGGCTGCATACTGTGGACCCACCGGAAAAACGCTGCACATCGACCCAGCGGGCGAAGGATGTACGAATACCATTCAACGGGCAGAGCTGGCAGCAATACGCGTAGCTCTATCAACCCAAAGGGCGGTGAACATCACCTTAACAATTGCCACTGACTCGCAAGCCTCACTGGATCTTATCAAAAGAGCAGTAAACGATCCGAGTAAACTGCATATTTCCAAGCACAAAGCCTTAGTAATGGACATCGCCGACCTACTGTACGAATGCGCCCAACAGAACATAACCGTTCACTTCCTGAAAGTGAAATCGCACACAGGCCTTGATGGTAATGACAAAGCTGACAAAGGAGCAACATCTGTCGCACGAGGTGAGAACCCAGCAACATTTACTGAAAAGGCCGACAATGCCCCGTTCGATAAAGTGTTCTGGCTGAAACAACGCGACACTGGTCTTTACGTTAGTGACCTGAACAAAGGCCTTTATAAGCGTCTCCAGCAAGGTACCTTCGCAGGCTATACCAACGACACAATACTAACTGAAAAATGGCGTAACACCGCCTCGAAGTTAGACCCCAAATCTAGCAATTCCTTCCTTAGTAACGCAAAGATGTCACACTGGCTCAAACTGCAAGTACTGAAAGCTCGATACGGGCTGCTATTCAATGCTAAACTAAAGAATCTTTACGGACGAGGCGGAGACGGCAACTGCCCTATCTGCCGCAGCTGCGGCCCGACCGGCCCCACACCCGACTCAGGAGCCCACATACTCGGCGGGTGCCCCCACCCAACCATGAAGGGCATGTACATCAACCGGCATAACCAAGCGACGCGCACTATTGCCGACTGCGTCAACGGGGGCCACCACGGTGGTGGCTTCATGATTATGGACGCCGGTAAAGAAGAGGATCTCCCGCCGTACTGCAGTGGGACGCGCGTCCCCAAATGGATGCTGCCACACTTAGCGGACGAGGAAATCCGTCGCCTCCGCCCAGACATCATGTTCATCCCCGACCTCCCCGCGCACAGAACCAAGCGCAAACGGTACCAGGGGCCGGAGTGCAAATCCAAGCACGATGTATACATTGTTGAAGTGGGCTACACCAGTGACCTGCAGCACTCCGACAAACTCGAACAGAAAACCGCACAGCATGCACGGCTAACAGAGGAACTCACGAAAGCAGGCTGGACGGTGCACTACACCGAGGCGCAGATTGTCACCCTGGGAAGTACTGGGACACTAACCAACACACTAAAACCGCTACTGTGCAGACTCGGCTCGTCCGCTGAGCAGGCCCAGAAGACCTGCCTGCACCTCCACCGGCAAACAATCGAAGCAGCGGGCACGATTATCCGGGCGCGGCGAGTACTGGAGGGTACAGTCAAGTAACCGGTACAACCCAAACGGTTTCCCACGGTGGTGCGGGCATACAGGAGCGGCTACGCCGCCCCTCAGTTCCCCACCCCCTTAACACACGCCAGGCCCCGGCCGGCGTACTATTATTATTATTATTATTATCCATGTAGACACGCGCGCACGTGCACGAGCCAACTGCGACGAACGTATCCATATGGTGGCATTATTCTACTTTTCGTGATGAAAAAGGAATGGCAGAATGGCAGAAGCGCCTTAGATGAACTGAGATCCGTTCTCAACGACGGATCTCTCCCTGAGGCGGCTGTAGTAGCTGTCCTACAGTACGGCACCCACACTCAACTAGTCTGTAAACACACAAATAAAACACCTTATTTGCATCTTGACAGACCTTTTCAGCGGCCAGCCGCTACAGTTAGGCTGTACGGTCATCTGACAGTTACGCGCAATAAAAGCTACTCGAGACAGCAATGCACATGGTAGGATGGCCCCATTGTTAACGCAGCCCGCTGTCGCTTCCCTTGCCAAGGCATATCGGTGGCCCGCAGACGAGCGCTTCCGGGTAATACATTCTAATCCGTGCAATTGTTTCCGTAAGGCATGGGCTAAGCCAACTTAACCCCAAGTGTTAACACCTTGTGTAAAAAGGTCGGCAAATTCAACCACCATGATTTAGTGAACATCATTTTTGTTTTGTTGCCATCAACTGGCAACGGCCTCGAGCCCCAATACATGCGCGCGCTTCCTTCCCCTGCTGCTTGCTGATCATTCCCCACGGACAGGTGGACACGGAAGAGCCTTCTCCTTTGTTTCCACTGCCCTAAAGCCGCCAACCAGCCCACCCGCCCGCCCGTGCAAGGTGCCCCCAAAACAACTAATAAGTGGAATAAGTTGTGGAGTAGTAAGCTGACTAGCCGGTTATCTGGCCCCGGCCCTCCCGGGCCCCCGACAGTGCCCCAGTCCGGCCCTCCAGACCCTGAGTGAGCTCACCGACCCCACCCCAACCCCACCCCACCCCACCCCACCCCACCCCACCCCACCCCACCACAGCACGCGCAGCACACGGGAAGCGAGGACACCGGACTGGGCCAGCCCTTACCCAGCCACGCCCAGGAATCCATCCCGCCGCCCGCACGCGGCACCTCATCAAAGTGATACTCCACCACCGGCCCCATCAACACCATCCACCACAGCAGCACCCCGGCCCCGACCCCGACCCCGCGTACCCCTGGCCCTGCCCCCACTTCGCCCCCGGCC